AACCTCTTCTATAGAAGAGGTTAGAACTGGCAGGAGCCCACCCCTGCTAGGCAGGGAAGGAAGCAACCTTTTTAAAAAGAAGATTCCATTCTGAAATCCAAGAATTCTTTTAAAAGAGGGAAGATATACCTGATCAAAAAGATATAAGGTGACATCATTAAAGAATGTGACTGCTTTTTTCCCATTCTTCTGAAAGGCATCGGTCGAGTGGTTCTCCTGGGGTTGCTTTGGCTGTTTCAGCAAGCTCCTTAAGTGCTTCCCATCACTTCTATCGCTAATGATTTCTGGCACGGGGTACACCATGATGTCCTCGTCGCTGTCCGAGCTGAGCCCGTGAAGGTTGAAGCTCTTCATATCATCCTCCGAATCGTCGCTGTTCCCATCTTCCTCGTCGGCGTCCTCTTCGTCTAAGGTGAGGTCCAGCAACCGAGGGACATCCAGCTTCCCAAGATACTTCCCTTCGATATCGGGCTCTTTCAACTTATGGCCTTCAAGGTGGCCCAGTATGGATTTCTCAAAGTGTTCGGGAGCATCGTACAAGGCGGGCATGAGCTTTGGATCACCCTCGGGGAAAAAATCTGCTGTACTGGTGCCTATGCAAGATACGCTTTTGGGGAAATCCTCATATATTTCATCCTCATCTGTATGTTCTAGGTCAGGGACAAGCAGTGACGGTGTCTTATCTTCGGCGTCATGAAGCCACTCCTGCTTTCTTTCGTCCGACTCGCGGTCTTCTACTCCTCCATCCGCCTCCAGCTGTGAGGCCAAGTCATTGACGAACTGATAATTAGTGACTTCACTGACATTTGAAGGATTTTTTGCATTCCCAGCGTTTTCCACTTCAAAGGAATCGGTGTGGTCCTTGATTAATACTGTTGGCCTTTTCGGTAGACTGGAAGCCTCAGATTTCTTATCAATCTCCGAATCGTTATCGGAGAAGTAGGCCGAGTCTCTGTATGAATTATGGACACCTTCCAAAGCTGCCTGAGGAGTGGTTTCAAAATTATCCATGTTTGTCGGGCCGGCGTAAGGATTGACGTCCGCTGACACGATGATCGCGGGGTTCTCCTGCACGAGATTTCCCCCCGATTCACCAGAATTGCTGCCAACCAGATGGGAAGTCCATTCAGGAGATTCTAGGTTTTCCGTTTCGTAGCCGCTGTCGGCGGGCTTATCAGGGGGTAAACATTTCCGGGGGCTTTCCGGTTCGAAGGATTCTAAAACTTCGTTCATGTCTAATGTCTCGAAGGAGTCTGGCGTGTCTACCAGTTGTCCCAGGCTCGGGGTTGAACCTGATGAACTGTCTTCTAGGAGGCTATCGTGGCTGATGCGATCTGTGGGGAGACGACCCACTGGGTCGTACCTTTCCCCTGGAGGCGTTCTGTCACTTTCCTTCAGAATGTCGGCGCGATCTCGTTCGGGTTTCTCGGGGTTTAAATCGGAGGTCAACTCCCAGGAGTGACTGTTGTGTTGAAGTTCCTGTTGATGTTCCTCTCCTTCTTCAGCATTGAGTGAAACGCCGGGGCAGGAGCGGACGCCACCGGTCTGGTTTTGGACACGGGTGGAGTGGATATCCGTGGAACTGGATTCGGAGACTTGTTCCGTTCCAAGGAAAGAAGCGGCAACATTGTGGGGAGAGTTAACTCCAACTTCTCTGTTAGAAGGGCTTTTCTCCGGGCTGAAAAAGGACAATAGGAGCTGCTTATCGACCCCAGGGAGACCAGAAAATGTCCCTATTCGCCCAAGAAGATCCTCGTTAGTGTCACAAACCTTTCCACTCAGGTTACATTCAACTCCCAAAGAGTTCATATTTGCTGGGTCTAATTTATCTGCTTGGTCGCGAGCTCTACTGACATCGCCACCGCTTCCGCCCCTCGGGGTCCCCTTCAATAAATTATTCTCCTGGAGAAAAAGGAAGTTATCAGACAGTTCCTCTAAAGTCAGTCGGCTAAGTTCAGATTCCTGCGAGGCGTCTTCTTGCAAGAAATCATTTTGAAAGGTGGGCGAGGAGCTTCTCTTCTTGGGCAAGCCCTGGGTAGATTCCTCAAAGTCCAAGCGTGAAATCGCTTCCAGCTCCAGGCGGATATCGTTTATGTCAGCTAAATCGAGTCTACTGACTCCATTTGCCAACTGTTCAGTTTTGGTGATGATGCCACCGTTTTGGGAAGGGCTAAGCAGAGCCTGTAAATTCTCTTCCTTGGGATCCGCACTGCTACAGAAAATATCCCCGTCTGTGCTAGATTCAGCCGCACAGTGTTCTAGAACCACCACGTGGCAATTTTGGTCTTTCAGAACTTCAGAGTTGTCCACTTCAGTGGTCAATTCAGCCACCTGGTGGTCAAAATTGATGTTCCTAAGGCCTCCAATTTTTTCTTCCAACTGGATGTAATAATCACTTCCAATCGAAGGTTTGCGGGCGTTAAACACGGGAAGTTCTCCAGGCACCAGAAGGGACACTTCCTGTCCACTTTCAACCTGAGCTCCAGGCCCTTGGTCAGTCAGCGTGTTCTCAAAAACCTCCACCGGGAAGAAGATGTTCGTGTAAGTCTTGTTGTCGACGGGGTTTGACTGGCTACATTCAAAGTGGTCGTGTTTGGCTGCCTCCCAGATGTACTCAAAGTTGAGTCCTCGGCTTGTCTCGGTGACAGTGAGGACCTCTTCCATCTCGCGGCCAAATCGGCTGCCGGTGAAATGATCCAGGATGGGAAAAGCGGAACTCCCCAACGGTTCTCGGTTTAAAATGTTGGGCTTGAGGTCCTCCCACTGTTCGGGATCGATGACGGAATCCTTCTGAATCTGCATGCAGAGGTAGACCAGAAGCTTGTGGACTTCCTCGGAGGTGGCTCGCTTTTCCGGAGACAGCCAGCAGAACTGCAGAACTTCATACCTGGGAAGGATGAGATTTCAAAGAGACTGTTTGTAACAAGGAAATTATTTCAGGTCAAGAGTTCTTGTAAGAGTTTTCTAAAGTAACCTTGCTTTTCAAAGTGATTGTACCTGGAAAGTTTTTATTCTTTAATTTTTCGAAATCAAGAGAGCAATTTGAACTCCAGAAGGGACAATCCACAAATGATCTTGATTTCCTTTCCTTCTTTCCTTTCTTCCCTCCCTTCCTTTCCTTTCTTCTTTCCTTCCCTTCCCTCATTCTCCTTTCCTTTCTTCTTTCCTTCCCTCCCTCCCTTCCTCCTTTCCTTCTTTCTTTTCCTTATTCTCCTTTCCTTCCCTCCCTTCCTTCTTCCTTTCCTTCCTTTCCTTTCCTTTCTTCTTTCCTTCCCTCCCTTCCTTTCCTCTCCTTATTCTCCTTTCCTCCCTCCCTTCTTCCTTTTCTCCTTCTCCTTTCCTTTCTTCTTCCCTTCCTTTCACTCATTTTCCTTCCCTTCCTACATCCATCCATCATTTGTAGACTAACAAAAATGCCTGAAGCCTCCTGAACCACTCTGAAACTCTCATTGAATGACAGAGCTTGACTGAAAGCCCAAAACGTGGTGTTTTTACCATCGATCAGAATAGGGCTGCTCGAGTGGTGGTTGCAACAGCTTGACTTGTTTTTCTTTGATGACTCGTGTCAAAACCTCCTCATCGGAGAGCTCAGAATAAGGCTTCGTGGCGCCACTGAAAAGTTCCCACAGCGTCACTCCCAGGGCCCTGCCAAAAGAGAAGGCTTCAGTAAGACGTCAGATCACACGGGGGCTAATGGAGTGCCAACTTCTTTTTTTAACCTCTGACTGAAGGATTCAGAGGATTCACTACTTGAGAGCAGGTTGGAACAACATATTAGGAGCCAACTCATGTGGTGCCTCTCTGTATCACAAAAAACCTGTAGCGTAGAGGGTCTTAAGTTTTAAAATTCAGCTGGGGTGGTGGTGGGAGACATAATTTGTAGGACTGGATGAAAGAGATGCTGTCAGTATAGTATAAATCTGTTATTACAGTCAAAGACCAGCAATACACATTACTTTTTACAATATATTTAAAAAGTATTGACATTAAAAGTGGATAATAACATACATGTTCTCCAACTGTTTGGGTCACTCCCTGGTTTACATGGATGAAAAGCCAATTACAATACAATACAATACAATAGCAGAGTTGGAAGGGACCTTGGAAGTCTTCTAGTCCAACCCCCTGCCTAGACAGGAAACCCTATACCATTTCAGACAAATGGCTCTCCAACATCTTCTTCCAGTGTTGGGGCATTCACAACTTTTGGATGGAAGCTGTTCCACTGATAATTGCTCTAACTGTCAGGAAATTTCTCCTCAGTTCTAAGTTGCTTCTCTCCTTGATTAGTTTCTACCCATTGCTTCTCCTCAGTTCTAAGTTGCTTCTCTCCTTGATTAGTTTCTACCCATTGCTTCTNTTTTTGTGTTTTGTCTTGCACTCCCTTCCTACAAATTGTAAGCTGCCCTGAGTCCCCTCAGGGAAAAGGGCGGCCTATAAATGTCAAATAAAATGGAAAAAATAATAATCTTAATCCCAATGTTTTTAATCTTAGTTTCATTTTTTCAGTGTTTCAGTGTTTTCAGTATTTAATCTTAATCTATTTCTTTTTAGCTATCAGAGTTGTGTCATCAACATAGTTTTTTTATATTTCTTAAATTTTAAAACCACATTCATCTACCTCCAAACCAGCTTCCCGCAATGTGTACTCAACATATAAAATGAATAAATAAGGGAAGAGTACTGAGTCATATCTTACACCTTTGCAAACAGTCTATTTTGCTATGTTCAAACTGGACTGTGGCTTCCTGATCTTGTGTATATAATTAATTTATTATAGAGAGTGTGATATATGAATATAAAGTTGGACCTGGTGTATTAAGTAGCTGTTTCTTTCTTTCTTTGTGCTGGTCTATGACCATAATAAAGATTGGGTTTGATTCCTTCTTTCTTTTATTCTTTTTTTATTATAGTATTTTGTATCCTCAACAGACATATACATATGTACTGAAAAAGTATACATTGGCCCACAATCTCGCCTAACATATATCTTCCAAGTCATGTAGTCTGTATAAAGGTACTTGCCACAGAAAACATATTTAAATTTCCTGCATAAAAAGTATATTTGCTAGTTCCAAACTAAGCAAGTTCCAAAGTAAGTGATTGGCTGTGCTTTACCAGGTGAGAGAAAGTCCTAATATATTTGCACATATATTAAACTTGATTAATGTTCAATCTGGTTAGGTTTTCTTATAGCTTGGCGTATTGTGTAAACTCAGCCTATTTGTTTAGCTTACAGTTCAGGATAGATATGAACCAGGAAATTAGTCACTGTAATACTACCTAATGAGTTTACTCAGATTTTTAAAAAAAGAAGACGGAGTAAACCACATGTCACCCTTTAGTTAACACATGCAATAATTCACTAGCCATGCATCTTTATTCCCACGTGATGCAACATGGTGGAAATTATGATAGGTTGTTTTGATGTGAAGGACATATTTGCTAGCGTAATGTCAAATGGCATTGAAGCAAAACATATACAAATATAAGAATCTGTCTACGTACATGAAAGTGAGAGGTCTCTGCATGTGAGGAATTGGAACTGAGGAAAAGAAAGTATCTATCCCCATGATGGCGAACCTATGGCGCGCATGTCAGATGTGGTACGCGGAGTCATCTCTGTGGGCATGTGCACCATCGCCAGCTGATCTTCAGGTTTGTGGGGCTCCAGCACCCGCAAAGACCAGCTGGTTGATGTTCACGCACATGCCAGAAACCAGAAGAGCAGTTGGCTGGTGCGCATGCCACCTGCGCATGCACGCGCTGGCCAGCTGGTCTTTGAGTTTCCAGGGCTCCAGTGTGCATGAAGAGAAGACAAGCTGGCCAGCGCGCAGGCGTGTGCCGGAAACCAGAAGATCAGGTGGCCTGCTCGTGCATGCGCACAGGCTAGCTGGTTTTTGAGTTTGCAGGGCACCAGTGCATGTGCATTCCGGTTTGGGCACTAGGTGCCAAAAAGGTTCGCCATCGCTGGTCTATCCTGACAAGAGAACAATGAAAGTTTCTGCCTTGTCCTGCATGCAAAGAATTTGATGGACAAGCTTTGTGTTCACATTTTTCAGAAGAATTGTAGGTAACATTTCACTATTTTAGTTTATAGTCTTATCTAACTCACCATGTTATGAAATATAAATTGGCAAAGAAGACAAAAAAGAATTGGTTTCTTTGTGGTAACAAAGTTCTTTGGATTCAGACAATTTTTCTTCGTTCTGCTTTTGTTCCCCATCTCTTTTCCAGATTATTATTTTTCACAGCTGCATATCTTGGGAATACCTTTTCTCTTTTACTTCTGCAAATGGCTTGTAGTGTTCATATCCCCAATAAGAGAGAGAGAGAGAGAGAGAGAGAGAGAGAGAGAGAGGGAGAGAGAGGGAGTAAGAACATCTGGATCTCAGGGTGTCCTT